GATGTGGTTGAAACGTTGGAACTGTTGTAAATAAAAAGTTCTTTCGCCTGTTTTTCCTTTCACTGAATCAGAAGACCTATCACCTTCATGTCATGTACAGCATGGTATCCGTATGAGTCTTAGAAAATACCTAGAGAAAAAATTCATATCATACATAACATAACATACAAAGAAACGAAATAATTAATTGAAACAAAAATAAATAATTTAAGTACAACAAGGTTAATTTAATGATTGACATTAGTGTTCATTTCTGATCGTACAGTTTACAGAAATAACAGAAATTGACTTTCGCATAAAAAGATTTGTGACGCCATATTGGTCACCATGAAAAGAACAACACAATTAAACGGAGGTAAACAAATATCAGGTAAAAGGTTAGATGCTATAAAAATGCTAGATTACAGCAGCCGGTAGCCGATAGGTTAAACGATTGCATTTATAAACAAAACAACTTTTATAAAGCTGATATTTTTATTAAAAAACCTGAAATGTTTATTATGAAAAAGAATGTAAACGAGTACTATTTTGATTGTAAATACCTTATGGAATCGCTTCTTCGTCAGTCCGTATTCAGTGCTGAGATCTTCTATCTTCTTTGGTGAGTCCTTACGATTCACCCTGCTTAAACGAATTTGCAGCCCATCCATGTCGTTAGCCAATTCGTGGTACAGCGATTTCTGTTGCTCTATCAAACTAAACTCGTTGACAAGTTTTCGAACGGGGTGCAGAACACAGTTTTGCAGCTGCTGCAGCATCAGTTCCAGCCACGATGCCAACTTAAAGCAAAATACGTTACATAACTTCCACTTCAGAGCAGTAATTTTAAACAGCACTTCAGAAACGGTCGCCCCAAATTTGTCCATTGCGACCGCGTAATCATTCTCCTGTCGTTCCAGCTGGAAGTTCAGCTGTTGGTAATTCTGGAACAGGGACGACAGCTGCTGCAGAGATAACACGCTTTCGCTCTTAAAATGAGACTTTCGTGACTCTGTGAGGTAGGCAAATATCATGGAAAGAAATTAAGAACATTCAGAACTGCTTATGCGTAGTATTAGTAAGTTGCATTAAGTGCAAGCGACTTCAAATAACTGTTTTTTCGTGAAGGCTACCAAAACTAAATGATGGCACCACAGCAGTTTCTCTCGGCATTTTCGACATTACAGAAATTGCTAAGGATTCCTGTTATCATAAAATCCATTGACCATGACAGCAACTGGCAAAGATATTCAACAAAGAATGAATGAACGCACAGATACTTAGTGGTATCTAGTTTTCAGCTTCATAATCACACATCAGTTCGAAAAAATGAGCAAGAAAGCATTCATTTATCTTTTATGTTTCTAACGTGGAAAGGTGCTAGCCTTTTTGGCATAATATGCATCATCCTGATCTGAACTGAGTGAAAGTTATTAATATAAAACAAACAGTAAAAACAATTACAGGATGGTAGCAAAACTGCTAAATATAAGAGTTTAACAAGCATTCCTACTGTTCAGTTCTTGAGCACCAAAAGTTAGCAGGTGAATGGAAGGATACTTTTAGCAATTCTCCGGCAGGCGGTTGGTTTTATGGTGATTTGTGTATCCAAGCTATGGTAGATGTATAGGTAGCCCACTGCCCGCGCGAACTCCTTGAATCAAATGTTAAGCGCGTTAAGCACTCCAGTATTCCACTCTCCAAAATACTGGGCTAATGAGCATAAGTGAATCAGATCAATACAGGTTTTCAAACAAACCAATGAAGTGAAGCTTGAGGGAATAGCTCTTGTAGCAGTCAGTCACAATAAAAGACTCCTCCGAATTCTGAAACGAGCATGACCAATACGTCTGGTCAGGTCTGGCAGTTGCTGACCTGAAGCCACAGGGACTGCTTGTGCAAATGACAGGCATGTAACAGCGACTGCTTAAGCAAGCCTTTAGTAAGGAAAACATTAATTCATCTACTACCATTGGCACTAATATTCACAGCTAATGGGTCAAAGTAAACCCAATAACCTTCGACCTATTTTTCCTCTGAGGTCGAAGAAAAGACGTCAGTGCCTGCAGTCGACGAAATTTAAGAGCAAATTATCTTAACATGTCTGCGCAGGGCAGTTTTATGCTGAATACCGATACCATGCGGTAGTTCACATGAATATCCTCAACGCAATCAGGCTTACTGCACTTATCTTGCGAGATACACAAAAAGTAGCCCACATTATAAAAAATGAAAGAAAATCAAGGCTGCTTCTGTAAAATAAATTCAAACATTTCACTGATCATTCATCAATGATCGACACTGAAAATGCTAGTGTCGAAAGATTACAACAGAATATCATAAACAAATCGAAAACATAACCCCGATATAATGATACGATATCAAAATAAAGATATCGGATTGAAACCGCAAAAATGTAGTATAAAGAAAGAAAATTTTATTTCTCACTTTATCAGCCGCGTTACTGCGCTGTCCATTTGCTTCCAATCGCCTAGGGGGCCATTTAAGCAGGTCATGGCTGTGCGGCATTTAGGCACCAACAGGGTAATGTTTTCGATTGATTTTCGCCTTAGGATCATGATCAATCCTGGATGAGGCGATCCATCAAATCAGCTGCTCGAAACAGCGTCTGCTACCTCCGAAATATTTTTATCATCTTTTCCCTAAACTGTTTGTTTCAGCATTTGCTACTTTCTTTGAAATTTCTTTGCGACCTATCAAACTGACTTGCCTTTCATGTGTTTGCACGGGACAAGGCACTATAGCAACACTCTCGGTGACGTTTCGGCTAGTTACCCACAGAATAAACGTTACAAACGAATCAAGGTAACAGACACAAAAAATAAAATCCTGACAGAAAACGTTAATCATAGATGCAGAAGGGCACTAAAACATCAATATCATCAGTCACTTGTTAATAACAGTGATGTGCAACAGAATATGTGAAAAGAATATGTAAACAATTAAGAGAAAGTAAATGTTAAAAAGGAGCCATTGAAACCTGGGCTGAAACCAGACGTTCCAAAGAACTCTGCATGGATGCAGCGAACGTATGCACCTTTTCAGCATCGTCTTCGAACATTTTCACCATGAACCTAGTCTAAAATTAGCTAACAGTTTTAGACATAATACGTCATCCAATGAAAGCCCATCGAAGCCCACCTGAGGCGAATCTTCCAGGATGTCATCGAGACACAGAGCACTAAACTTCATTTTCCTAAAAACAAAAGCAGACAGTCACCAAACTCACTCCACATGTCACTTGAAATATTCGCATTAACCAAAGCCTTCATTAAAAAGCTGGCAACGAGCGAAGTTAACAATGAACTGTAATGTCATCTCTGTGTATAATGCGGTTGTGTGTCAAGGCAACTATGGCGCATGATGATTAAGCACGTAAACCTGAACCTAATTATATCCGTTGGGCGAAAGATGAAATTGTAATTTTTGGCCTTGATCTGCATCCGCGAAGATGCCCCTGGGAGACTGCAGATCTATCTTTCCAAATTCGATGTTTGTCGCTGAAGGACGGCGTCTGTGGTCTGAATCACACAGTAAAATTTTGCGACTGACAGTTTCTCCTAGTACACTATATTACAAATCCAATAAATTCGTCGCTACTGCAACATTGAAGATAATTCTCGCAGTCCTGTTATGGCTAGTACCTATTGGTTACTCGTTAGAATCAACAAACCTTGAGCATGTGACTTAAACGCTGTTATTGGAAGGCGTTTAAAGGACATATGTGTTTTCAGCAAGACAACCGTTTTCCAAATCATACAAGACGGTGTAATGAGCTTGATTTTGGATGTTTTGCTAAGCCTAAGGCCAGTGGAAATTGAACAATGTATGATAGATCTGGATTCAAGTTTTTTTATCAGATGAAATCTACGTCAGCGTTATATTTAGTAACAGTAGTGAAAGTGACTCGCAGTGAAAGTGCAGTAGTCGGAAACCGTTAAAAGGCGAAGGAAATGAACTTGGAGGTTACTCTGCAACTGTCTCTAAAAATAACCAACCCACCCCATTTTTTAAAACGATCCAAAACGACCGCAGACATGAAGAAGCCTAGACGGAACGTCTTTGAACGAAATCGACTGGGCACAAAGTGACAAGAAACGAATCAGACGTCTCGGTCATAGGTCAGAATATCTGGAACGGGTCAGATTACAGACATGATTTAGTTAGACAATCGATGTTGGACAAGAAGAATGGATCAAAGGAGCCCAAATATCACGGCTTTGCGAAGAGCAACGGATCGACCGAGAGGCTTGACCATTCTGTCAATGTCATCAAGACTACTGTTAGAGCATCAAACCGAACAATAAAATCAGCGAGTAGCCAACACATCAGACCTTCGGCAAGGCAGCGTTGATGGCTAAAAGAATCCAACTAAAGGTCGTGACTGTGCAAAGAGATATACACAGAATGACTAGGGAAATTAAAGAAAATTCAATTAAGAGAAACTACGGAGAGGAAGAAAAGCCTTCAAGCCTTGGCAAGAGACAGCTGCATAAAACAATAGATCCCAAGTGAACTGAAAGATAAAGGAGCAAGAACTTTAAACCGTTATCGGATAAAAGTGATATGCATAAAATTTTAAAACAACCCATAATATTTAGAAGTAGGCGTTACCACAGTATCCATTACCGAAATCACCTAGGTTGAAGTTGACTGGACTGTCAGAAAGATTAAACATAGCAAATGTTCAAGCAAAAACGATATAAGACAAGAACACCTCAAAGCAAGAGAAAGAATCATGCTTAAAGCACTTCTAAGAAGTTTTACGGTATATATCAGGAAAAAACAAGAAGCATAAAGTTTGGAAAAGATTAGGAATGATTCCACTCATTAAAAAAGGCGACTACAAAACCATTAAGTATCAACCAATTATTTTCTTATCGTAAATGTACAATGTCGTCATCCTATCATTCTCGACCTTATGCGGAAGGACCTCGAACAAATCATAAGTCGCTTTTTGACGTGACTTATTCCTTAACCCCTTAAACTGGTGCAAAGGCATCAGCATCGATGAAGAGCAGCTAATGTAATGGGTATTTGCGAACGACTACATAATTTTCGCACGAGACAGGACAGAGCTCTAACCCAAGATTCAACAGTTGAAAGAACAATCTTTCATCGTCGATTATCTAGGTCATCCTCTCTAAGACGAAATGTATGTAAAACGAACACGGCCCCAAGGGCTCTACTGCAAAAAAGACTCTAATAAAAATTATGGTTACCTTGGTTACCATAAATTATGATTACCTCATCAGTGATAGTTACCTTGGCTGTCTGCGGGTGAGGAAAAAAACTGTTCCATTCAACCATTTTACCTGCTATGATCGATGGTGCTGAATGATAGACTGCTACCAAAAGGAAAGTAGAAGAAGCTGATGGTCACGTCAATGCAATTAAGCGAAAAATGTGCAATGCGTACCTCCGGGATCACGTTCAAAGTGCTCATATTCGGCAATAGACTGGTTCAACAAAAATTTTTGCTTTGGACGATGTCATGTGGCTAGCCTGAGAGAACTGGTGGGTCGGATGGGACGACAGACTTTGAGTTGGTCGTCAAAAAACGCAAAGGGATGATCCGATGATTCAATGACTGGTCACGGAGGAAGGAAAAAATGGAAAAACAAAAATAATTTGAGGGGTGTCGATTTGGGCTGAAGTCGGAAAATAGAATCTTTTAACGCAAAATTTTGAATAGTACTTCTGATAATGTCAGAGGTTTAAAGATATTCTGCTTTGAAGCCCATTTTCAAATCATCCTAGCTAAACTTTCAATGTATCAGCTTAAAGATGTCACATCCGTCGTTAGTAGTCTGTCCGAAGACCGTTGTGCGGAGAAACGTTGACAAATACACAATAAATGTTTCGTAACACCAGCCTTCCCCTTACTCCCGAACAAACAAGTGAATCGGAAACAGAAGATTTACGAGTTCGTGGCGTAGAATCAAAATGAACTTTCGAAATCATTTGTATCATCTTGTGTGGCAATAAAACAGACTTGCAGAAATGGAACATTCATTAATATTTTCAAATATAAATATTATAACAATCATAGTATATTAAATATCACTTAATTAAATAACTCAATTAACATTCCACGGTAAATCTATCGAGTTGCCAATTAGCGACAAAGCATATGCGGTTTAAATCATTCCAATACGACTAAGGCGATATCAACGATTACAGATTACGGTTGATTTTCAAGTAGCCGTTGTTCATGTGCAATAACTTACATTTACCTGGTTGCGTAGTCGATAACATAAGAAATTCAAGTGATGCAGATTGTACCGAAACTAGGTAACTGCAAGCGGATCTGAACATGATGTATTAGAAAATATACGAACGCTGAAGTGCTGCGCGAAGAATGTAGCTACTGTGAATATCGTTGTCCA